CTTTTTTTCCAATTTTACAGGGTTTCATATCAGTATTGTAAACCGTAAACTTCACACCGTATTTTTATATTGCTGAACTCACTCTTAAAAGTTGTAAACAATCTAAAATAAACTCTTCAACCAGCAATCAGCTGTTCGCCCATCAAAACATTGAGCTTGAGCATGCGCAGCAGAGCGAAACTATAGTATAGTATACTTGCAATGTTGCTGTATATTATTTCAAATAATAACTTCTATTGTGATAATACTTTTATATATCAATAGAACAAATTGTATATATTTTCTTAAAATGGCGAATTTGTCTTATTGGAGTTAGGTGAATATGTATTTCTTTTTAGTGATAACGTAATTTATCTCCTATCAATTATAAAATGCTATTTATATTGTAGTCTTTAAAAGTGATACAGATAGTAATATGAATATAACGTAGATGTTAACTTCTACCGTCATTGTAAAGAGTTAGTGAGAATTTAATTCAGAGAGCAAGTGTACAAAACATAAATCAGATACTACACCTCAGACTCTGAGAGAATTAACATTCTGAACTAGACCCTGTTAACCGGCAAAGTGTAAAATGGAAAGGCGGGATAAACAATAAAAACGGGAATCTTGAAAATAAATGTATTATTTTTATGCTCTTATATCTACCTCACCTCGTACTTGTTTATACAACATTAAGATATAAAACAAATACCATATGTCTGTAGTTATTTAATATTGCTCCATATAACAAACTTAAGTACCTTTCACCTTAACTAACTGAAATACATTTTTCAAAATATCTGCATGATATTAACATATTCATTGATAAATAGTATCCAATTTTAAATTACTGATGATTGGTTGCTGAACTACAAGAAATGACAAGTTCTTTACTTGAACAAACCAGAACAAAACTAGATTCAATTTTATCCTTTTAATGAACGTTTAATTATTTTGATTCGAATTATAACTGAGCATCTGCCGCATATTTTCCGACCTAAAACATTAATTATTTAACTTTAAAAACCCAGGCATTGTGATATCTCCCGCAGGCCAAGAAAGTGAACATGTTTATAAACTGTATTCCTCATTAAATAACACAACTACAGGTAAATGTTACAAAAACTACATTTGATAGCACAGCAAGACTTTTTCTTTACCATTTTTATCATAAAAATATGTTAATATTCTATGAAAGCTTTCAAGAGCCATGCTGGTGTTTATACTGCATCCTTTTCTGAATCATTAAGGACATTATTGAAAATGTCCAGTCAACTTGCCCGAGAGAATGTAAGCATTGTCCGATTGTGTTGGCGAATTTCAAGCCGATACCTTTATACTAGAAAGATGAAATATTTCGTTATTTTTCCAGTTTAAGCAACCGGTATGTCTTCAACTTCCGTGCGAGTCGCTGTTAAAGTCCGTCCATCGGTTCGACATAAAATTGAAAAGGGATGCAAATAAGTCGTGGTTGCCATATCGATGAACGAGCAGATCGTGATAAAAAATTGCGAAAAGTCGTATACTTTCGACTATATTCTGAAGGCTGAATCCCCCGAGGAAGAGCTCCATAATAGATGTTTCGCTCCCTTAATGAAGAACATCTGCCTAGGTAATATTTGGATGAAACCATATTCTCTTCTGTTGCTCAACTGGGAAAAATCGGCAATTTCAGGTTTCAATGTAACGATTTTTGCGAATGGGCAAACTGGCTCCAGTGCGGGATCTCTTCCAACACGTTCGTCACAATTTTAGCACAGATTTTACCATTACGGTTTCATTCATTGAGTTCTATCGTAAAATTCTCTATGGCTTGCTGGCCAATAAAGCCGCTAGATCAATGCACCCTGAAAATTAGAGAAGTTATCGCTAAGGGTGCGTCTTAATCCATGTAACGTCTCTCTAATCTGAATATCTAATTATTTATGGCAATTTGTCAGGAATTCATATTCCCAATGCGACCAAGGTGATGCTGCATTCAGTTGAAGATGTATTAAGTATATTGGCCAAAAGCTCTTTAGGACGAGCTACTGCCTCCACCAATATGAACTAGCAGAGCTCTAGAAGTCACTCAATTTTCACCAGAATATGGCTCATGAGAGCAACGCGTAAGTTGCTAAATTGCAGTGCAAGATTTGATTACCTCAAGTTGATTTTCCTATAATTTCAGGTATTTAAGGAAATCTTCCAAACTGCACCTAAATCTGCCAGGTTCAGAGAGCTCGAAAAAGACTGGGGCCCAAGGCAAAACGTTTAAAGAAGGAGTGAACATTAACAATGGCCTGTTTGTACTCGGCAACGTGATACGCGCCCTTGGATAGGAGAACATACCCTACTAACTAACTACTAAATATGCGTCTCAAATTTCCAAAAGCTGCCCACGTCAATCCTATGCGTCTCTGTAGTTCATGTATTTGGTTGTCCCTATTTATTCGAATTTCATGACCGAGATATTTGTAGTTTCCTCAACCTGGACGCCATTGATATATACATTAGCTGAGTTTTCGACAAATTGATTCTTAGCCCGATGTTTTGAGATGCAGCATTTAAGTTGTTGAAGCATAGTTCTGGCGTGGTAAATACGATGTGTTATTAAAACTGTCATCTGCGAATCTTAAAATGTGAAGTTTTCGCCATTTATGTTGATGCCAAGTCCATCGAAGTCTACAGATTTAAACATATATTCGAGGAGACTTGTAAAGAGTTTTGACGAGATGGTGTCTCCTTGTCGGACGCCTTTATCGATTTTAAATGTGTTTGTACTGTCCTTTGTTATACATACAATACACAATACATATACAATATACTTTATTATTTGAGTATACCGGTAGTCTATTCTACCGTCTGACAAAGATTTTAACATGTTGAACTGATCTATGGTGGCGAAGACTTTTTCGTAGTCCACAAATATTAGAACGAGTGGCCTGTTGTATTCAATGGACTTCTCGAGGAGGTTTTTAAGGACTTGGAGATGATCATTTGTGCCATATCCTGATCGAAAACCGGCCTGTTCTCGTGGTTGATAAAGACCTAGTTTGGAATTTAGCCTATTCGTTAGAATTCGGGTGAATATCTTGTACACATGCGATAGTAGGCTTATAGGACGGTAGTTGGCAAGATTGGTGTTGTCTCCCGTTTCATGCAGCAAGATAATGGTTGCGTTGTTCCAGCGTTGTGGATTTTTTTCTTATATGAGGCATTCGTTGAACAGTATCTTGAGACTCTGCAGCAGTTTATTGCCTCCAAGTTTAATAACTTCGATAACAACTTTGTCCTCTCCTGGAGCTTTATTGTTCTTCAATTCAGATATGGACTTTTGAATTTCGTCAGTTGTAATTTCTGGGATGTCTTCTGATCCTTGATTCATAATCATATGAATTTGCTCGGTAATAATAGTTGTTTCGGTCTTAGCATACAAATCTCTATAGAATGCTTCGATTATTCTCAAAATATCTTGTTTGTTAGTTGTTATTCTTCCTTCTCTGTTTCGCAGTTTACAAATCTTCCTATTTCCCCCAGATAACTTTTTTCTAAGTACTTTTAAGCTTTTAAGGTTTTCTTCAATGGTCTTTTCAACCATGTTGGTGTTAAATGTCCTGAAGTTATTTTGGATGGCTTTAGTTAGGCAAATTTCTGCCATATTTCTCTTGTAAACATCTCCTTTCTTTCATCATGTTCTTGATTGTATCACTTAGTTTTGAAATTTGTTGGTTTGTTTTCGCAAAATTAATTTGTTCGACTTGTTTTATAGCTTTTGTTATGTTTTCATTCAGCCGATGTCCACAGTGTCGGTTGTTGCTATTTCGAACTTATTTAAATGTTCGTTAATGTCACTTTCAAAGGTTTGTGTGTTATTGGGGAATGTCCAGTTCTTCCTGTGTGTTTTCTGTATCATCTTCGGTCGTTCCCTTTTAACATTTACTGATATTTTCGATCTTCCCATTCTGTGATCACTGCCTACGCAGAAGTTATTCAGACCTGTTGCGTCATGGATTATTTATTTTTTGTCCGTTATTATGAAATATATTTCATTTTGTGTTTTCCCGGTCGGGCTAATCCATGCCCATTTTTGTTGTGGCTTTTTGTTAAAAGAGGAATTCATTGAATACAGTCCTGTTAGGAAGGTGGTCCTGCAGGAAGTTAAGGAGCCTACTTCCTCTTTCGTTCCTCTCTCCATATCCATATTTTCCCAAAGGGTTTTCCGACTCATCTTGTTTAGTTCCAATTTTGGCGTTGAAATCGTTGTCATAAAATGTAGGTATCTATTTCATCCTCTTCAGCGGATGACGTGGGAGCGTATGATTTTGATGTTGTGTCTTGAATTTAGTTTGAAAATAAGATAAATTACTCTTGGGTTTATGATTTTGATCTCTACTATTTGTTGTACGTTTCCTGCGTACAATAAATTAAACACCGCCTTCTGTGCCCCATAGTGAAACAGATGACCGGATTTTAAAGTCCATTCTGCTTCTCCTTTTCTTCTAATTTCGCTTAGCCCAACAATGTCCCATCTGGTCCTTCCAAGCTCCTAGCTCAACCAGTTTTTGATCTGATAAGAGTTTTCTCACATTCACTGATGCAATTTGCAGTTGTTATCTTTGATAGTGGCCTGATCCTTTCCGGGGATTCTTAGCAGCCTCTGCCATCATTCCGGTCTGACCGCCACCCTGCGGGTTGGTAGGTTAATGTACAGGGATTTAATCCTGTAATTGTGGCGTATGGTTATTCCGCCGTCAGTAGAGCTAGAGGCTAGTCGGTACAGAAATATTTGGTCGTCAGAGACTCGTTTGTTAATTAGCAGGGTGTACCGGGTGGCCAGAGGCTCACCACACGTGCAGGTGAGGTTGACATTTGGGCAGCTTTGATGTTATGGTGATATGCGCTGCCCCTTACACCCCCTTACTTCAAATAGTATAGTAGTAGATCAAGAGTAGTAAGATGATAATAAATAAAATAATAATAAGCTCAGTCGGCGAACGCGAGCAAGGCTTGCAAGTATTTGTTTGAAACATTCCCGCGGCCCATCAATAAATTTATGTTTTTTTTTGACAGAAATATTTAAACAGCATTCTTATGGATCCCATATTGGTTTCATCGCTGCCCGCGCGGTCTTTTATGGATCCGGCCAACTATTGCCAACCATTTGGAGGTAGGAGTGTGTTTAAGAATAATGTTCATTTTTCTGGGATATAGCATCCATACACACATCGATTTGTGCTGTTGCACGGACATCCGAGGCCTAGTAGTAGAGATATGATATCAATAAGAACGGTTCATTGCGCGATCTGTTGTGCGGCTCTAAACCAAAATTGTCTTTTTTGAAAAAGTACGGAAACCCCAAAGGCCATAAGCTGCTGACGGATACTGGAGGCGTTGAAGTTTCTACACGAAAAAGGCTTTCCATATGGTGTCAAACTGTTACATTAGTCGAAAACAAACTGTACACTGAAAACACATTGAGGAATGATTCGAAGCGGGAGAAATAGGGAAAAGTTGCACTATTGGGTGATACTTTTTCGATCCTGTTCTCTGCACGGTGAATGGTGCATATGAATTATGCGAGCTATTTGCAAATTTGTTGGCGTTTTGCGTTTTTATTGCTGCGTCACCGTTGTCCAGTAATATGAAAAAGTCTTCGAAAGAGCATTATTTTCCTCCTTCTCTTATAAATAGTTCTATTAACAAAAGGCTCATCAGGACAGAAACATTAATATTATTCTCATGTCTTCTGCACAGTGAAAACACTCTAATCGAGAACGACCGAGTCAACCTGATAGATATAGAAAATGGAGTGTTGGGCGTGCCATCTTCCTACCGGCCATATTTCATGCAGCGCAAGAAAATAAGCACACTGGAGACAATGCACGTGTTCTGTTTCCGTCACGTTCTCTACGAAATGGCCATCGGATCGCCATTGCACGAAAGCTACATCGGGGAAGAAATATCCGAGTGTCTTCACCAATTCAGTAAACTGCCCATTTCTACAAACATTTCTCTGTCAATTAACAAAATTGCTTTGCGTTTCAGAAAACATCTTAGAGTCGGTTTTGTCGCATGATGCTTGCAAATACTGCCTGCCTACCATTGACGGTCTGCTGAACGATCCGTTTTTTGCTGGAGTTCAGTTACGTTTGTTCGATGGAGATCCCGCACATTTTAAAATTTCCTCCTCAATCAAAGAGTATCTGAAAATAGTGGTTTTTAAGATTGAGGATCGATGCAAAGGTGAGCAGAAACTGGTGCGAAGCCAGAAACGACTCACCAAAGTCCAGAAGATAATGATCAGCGAGGAGGACAGAAAGAAGCACCGAAATCGAATGGTAGTGAAAGTGCAGTCACCAGTTTTTTTTTGAATATTTGTAAGTTTTTTTTACAGAAGCAGCTGAAAGAGCAGAAGAGCAAAGGTGGATCAATGAGAAAGAACGGAAATCATAATTCCTCTGTTCGTTTGCATAGCCGTTTTGGGGTCTTAATTAACGATTGGTTTGTTCTTGATTTTCAGGTCTCTGTCCGCATATCTCAGTGTTGATATCGTTTCTTCCATATTATACTTCGCTGGGCTAATACATGCGATCATCAAAGTGACACTGTTGCCGCCCAAATAATCTAATCTATCTAAAAGGTCTTCATTTTCACTATAAATTAATTTCATTAATGTTATTAATTTCTTTAATTTACTTTTATAAAGCATGGTCAGTTAATATATGATTCTCAGTTTTATGTTTATAATACACACACTCTATGTCATTTGGCTGAAAAAGTTGATCGATTTAAAACGTTAGATAACTTTTCGGTTTTAGAATTTTTTTTGGGACTCTTAAAAAATCTTTATACGATCACCAGTTAAACCCTTGCAACAGATATACCGAAGACTAATGAACGTAGGGTATGTTTAGTTCCATCTAAATGCCTACATTTCGTAAAGCATAACACAAGTCTTGTAATAGGATTTGTTGAAAAACAATCTAAAAAGATATTTAGAAACAAATTTAATTTAAGTATTTATTCTTATTCTAGAGCCAATTCGCATTGCTTGACAAAAATTGGTTTAGTTTTGGAGATCCATAACATTTGCTCATTTGATAACATTATTTTATTGTAGCAAAAAAGGTTTTTTCTTATTATTTCCTTTATAGTTATCCTTTAGATTCAAAAGATTTATGTATATATGAAATAAAAAGTTTGTCAAAAGATTATGAAAATTGAAATTGGTCGGAGATAAAGGCGACATGTCTAGTAATTTCAAAAAATCAGAGAGTCAAAGATTTATATCAATACCACTCCTACACGATCTTAACATTTTTGGCGCAAAGTTATAACTTAAAACCATCTTTATCTTTCTGTCTTGTCAATAAAATACGATTTAAGATTCTAGTGTCTTATTGTAACCACAACATTCCATCAATATGAAGAAATTGTACTGACGACCAAGTACAGACATAAGCAGACGTCTAGCCGACGTCATTCAACGGACGTCTGCCCGACGTTATTAAACTGACCTCTGTCTGACGTCTTCTAGCCGAATCTTATAACGTCTTTTAGTCGCCCATAAGAGGCAGTGTGCTACCGGGGGGTTGGCTCCAGAGGTGCGGGTATCTCAAACATTGAATTTCTGGCTTCGTTTGATAGCATGATGCCGCTAGGAATGTTGTAGTTGCATCCCCAACTGGTGTTTTTAGCATTGAAGTCCCTGCGATGTACCGTTAGCCTGCCATCTGGGAAAGGCCTTGGAACATCCTCGGGACACTCAACGTAGCATTTGGACTATATATCGGGGCGTATACGAACCCGACTCTACTTGCGAATTATCACTCACTTTTTATTTCGTGGTTTTATTCAACTGACATCTTGACACCCTGCTGTACATATATGCGATGCATTGTTACATATTGTTACATGTATGCAACACTGATCTCCATATTCTCCATTTGGATGGCCACCATGGATCCCCTCCCTCCAGACGTATTGACAGTTTGATAATCTCGTGGTACTGGGTGAACCTCTTCACTGCGACTAGTGTGCCTTCATCTCTGGTGGGCCTATCATCTCTGTGTATCTTGTGGTTCGGAAGTGTTAACCTTTCTCCAGGCTTCAGTAGTGTTTCCTGGATTAGGCACACGTCCACGTTGTGTTTCTCCAGGAAGTCCTGGAGTTCTAATTTTTTGTTTCTGACTCCATTGGCGTTCCAGGAGACGACACATATAGATTTAGTATTCAGCAGTCTAGACATGACTACTTATTAGCCTGCATTGTGGCCGTGAACGTTTTCATCTGGGTTTGCATCGCCTGTAGAGTATGTGCCAGTTTTTCAGGGCCTGGTTTCTTCATTGGTTGGCGTTGAAAAAATTGCACGTGTTGATCGGTTCAAGGTAAGTCAGAGACTTCGATCGATATACATATACCTTTTAAAAATAATACTTAATAACAAAGTTGAAATTCGATTTTCACCTGTTAATATGTTCTATAAATTGTTCTCGTACTCTTCAAGTGAGCCCCTATCACCCCTCAAAAGGAATGACGCCAATTTTGAATCACCCTGTATGCACAGCTCTGACAAAGTGTGCGATCAAACGAGGCTCATTTCATTTGGACTGTTATTTTAAATATTATACCATATTACCCCAGAGGTCAGTGTTTGGGCCTCTATTATATTCTTTATATGTGCTGAGTCTTAGACGAGTAAATTTAAAAGCTAGATATTTTACTTTTGCTGATGACACAGTACTAGTCTACACAGGGAAAAGCGAAACAAGTCTGAGTAAAGATGGATGTTAACTGTGATCTTGAACATTACGTAAGATGGTTATATAATAATATGTTGAAAATTAATGTACACAAAACAAAATATTGTACCGTGGATGGCCGAGTATTAAACTCTTTCTTCTGCTTCCAAC